CTCGTTTCTCTTTTCTCTTTGGTAAAAAAAGAAAAAAAAAAAAGAAGAATTTTTTTTTGTTCCCCTTTTTACAAATCGGTTCACAGGACAAGGAGGACGCCTGCAGGATTTTGTTGAGAGAGAAGTAAAAGAAGGTAAGAGGAGGAGAAATACAAACACGAAATGTTACTCGGATTTATTGAAATAGTATCCTAGTGTTCTTTGATATTCGTATACTTTTTAAATAATATTACAATTTTCTCATCTCGCGCGCGAAATAAGAAATAAATGTGTAAATCGAGGAAAGATATTTTTTCCTATATTTTATTTTTTTTTTTTAATTTATTATTTACCTTTTCTTCTCTCCTTTTAATTTGCTTAATAGGGTCATCATATTTCTTGATCTATTCGTGCGAAAGTATCTCGTCGTTAAACGAATTTTAAACATTCCGTTTACTTTTTTCTCTCTATAATATATTCTCTTCTATTTTTCTCTTATTTATCTTTGTATACCACAGTAATTAATTTATTTGATTCCAAATAGCAATGAGATTGAACGGAAAAGGCTCTGTTTTAAATAAACAACAAATGTTTTTGACAAATTTAACACATTTTTACAGAAAAATCTTCGTATATTATTTTTGAATATATATTTCAGCCAGTATATATAGAAATACAAATGAGTATATTTTAATTTTAATCGATATCGTATTTACACCAATCACCGATTTTGAAAAATATTTTTCTAAATTTTTATTGTCGATAATAGAGGAAGAAGAAAAAAATATACAGACGAGTATACAATTGAGCGAGATTTTTTTATATAATATTCGTAGGGAAAAAAATAGAAAAGTATTTTCATATTTTAACCATACTACGAATACTTTAATCCTCTACACCGTACTTTCGTAATATCGTTTCGCGTTTGGTTTTCATTGATTAAATCTCTTTTCAGTTAGATTCAATCGCGTTAAATCGTTGCAGTCAAATACAATCAAAACCGATAACAATTCCCCATGGGATTGTATAGTAGAGAACAAATTTTCTGGATTTATTCATTGTCAATTTATCGATACGATTACAATCGATTAATAGTAGTTAGATTTGAAATAAAGGAATAAATAAATATATGCGAATGTTTTTTTTTAATCGTATTTTTTTCTTTTCGAATTTATTTATACAACTTGTAAACCATTTTTATCGTTTATTTCTCTGGATAATTGTTTATCATTGATTTCAAACGATTAGCCATTATTTTGTTCAAATATATTTGAACACAAAAAAAAAAAGGAACAAATTACGGACAAATTTGACGATAAAAATAAGAGATGTGGTGAAAAATTGGAAGATTATTTTTTTTTCTCTTTTTTCTAACGTTATCAAAAAAAAAAAAAAAAAAAAAATAGGGGAGAAAGAAAAAAAGAAAAAGAAGATTGTTATTTTTTTGACGAGGTTACGTCGTGCAACGAATATCGATAAAGCGAAGCGGCTTTCATTGTAAAGTATAATTCAGTCTCCTCTTTGTGTATTAACATAAATCCAATGTTTACTTGAGGATTTCCTTCAAGTTTTTCGAATAAGAATTAGGAAATTGGACGAGATGTACAAAAAAAACAAAAAGTACTCGATAAAAGAAAAGAACGAATACATTTTACAAATCTCATACAACACTCGAATATATTTTACAATCGTTTTGATATTATCTGCACACGTGCAATAATCAATGTCAAGTTATAATTCGTTTATTATATCGATGAGAGTAATATCTTTGAAGTATTGCATTATTATTAATATTTCTTAAGTATAAATATTTTTTTCTTTATTATTTCATGAAAAAAAAGTCTGATGAGTTGTACGTTCTCGTTGCTACGTTACATCTATTGCAGCTAGGTCATGCATTATTTCCCCGTGTTTCAAGAAAGAAAAAAAAAGCAACAAATATTTGTTGCTCGAATAGAAAAAGTTTCGTTAGGCAAGTACAATAGGATTGCGACTTGGTCGATGACGCCAAAAGAATATATTTTCTTTCCAAATTTATATAGGTACCTTTTGCGTTTACGTATACGCTTTACGAATCCCAAATTCTTATTAATTATTAAACCTATAGTCGTATTCTATAATTCACTCGATGTCGAAACGAGCATTATATTATTGAAGCACGCGAGGTATTAAAGAGAAAGAAAGAAAAAAAAAACATGTACTCGTAAAGAGAGAACGAAAAATGATCATTTAAAACAAAACGATTTAAAATCATCTTACTTTGATCGATCCTCCTAAAAGATTATAAATATTATTCCTTATCAGCAAAAGTTTAAATGATTCATGTATTATTCGTCTCTTGCCCGTTGCAAAAGAAGAATCTCCGTAGAGACTTTTACGAAGAGAAATAAAAAAAAAAGTAAGAAAACACGTTCGTAGAGAAGATATATAAGCGTCTTTAGAATTGAAAATCGTCTTTATTTATAGTTATAAAATATTTTTACCATTTATTACTTTTTAATGTTTAATCGGATGAAAAAGAGATTTTGCTTTTTCCATGTTTCCTTTACGTATCTCTTACGTAAAATTAACGTCTTCCACAATGGGGTATCAATGAAGTCAGAAAATTTAGCAGATGATACAGGAAATTAACACAAAATTCCTATTATCTGATAAGATAAGTTTTTAATATCCTTACTTATTGGAATTCGTCGATTCTTTTCTCGATAGAATCGAAAAGAATTTTTCTAGTTTGATATCGATCCGTATAATAAAAAGAAAAAATAATAATTCATTGATTATAAGAATAATTGGTAGATTTGTTAACTAATATTAGAGTATAAACTGGCAAATGATATTTCTCCAAGTCGTGGTGTTAGAAAATAAGAGACGAAAAGGGAAAGCAAGGGAGACTAAATTATTTAAGTTAGTTACCCTAGAACAACCCTCGGTTTTACATTCCACGATTTTCTCCCGTTCATTTAATCCCTCTAGAATTTTTCGAGGCATCCGTTCTTTTAACTCCGTCGATTACATTTTTCTTCTTATATCTTTTTAAATTTGATTCTATTACGAATATAATGGTGTAACCGAGTCATTGTGCGATTTAATGATACAGCGATTTTTTTTCTTTTTCTTTTTTTTTTTCTATTCTTTCTCGAATCTTTATCGTTGGGGTATATTATCGAGATAAAGAAAAAAAAAAAGAAATTTTTGCCAGAAAGGAATATAGGAGTAAAAAAAAAAGATAAAGATAAAGATAAAAATAAAGATATAAGAAAAGAAATCAAGAGAAATGATGGCAGGCAGAGAAAGCATTGGATCCTTCAACTCGTAGAAACTCCCCTTTGGAAAAGTATGTCATGAAAATGTGCCAAGAAAGCGAAACAGAGCGTGAGAGGGAGAGAGAGTGATAAAGGGGGGATGGGGGGATAGAAATTTCGTAATATCGAATGTTCGGTTAATATTGTACTCGTTTAAGTACCAATTATGAAATTTCGAGATCTAAAGCTATCGTATTTTGTTTAACAGAATACTAATTAAAATAATGAAAATATATTATCTACTCGAGATAATCTCGGGATATTGAATTCAGTAAACTGCGATGAAAAAAATTCTTTTCTAATGAATTTAATAAAAAGCATATTTTACGAAGAACGTCAATGTGAAATTATTAATTGACGGTTATTAAATACTTAAAGTCGTAATTTTTATCTACTGTCCTGGCTTTTAGAAACACGTTGTAGGGTGAAAAATATGAAATCGGATCGATTGATATTATTAGGCCAGACAATAAGAAGCGAACGTGAATTTTTTGGAGTGCCAAATGCCTTTTTTGATATAATGCTAATTCGACGACGCTGAATCGAATGATGTTAATTTTTGTTTTACAATCCCGCCAGGTATTGCTAGCTTTCCCTGACCCACCAGGGATTGCTTGGCCTATTATTTAACGATAATATCGAAATCTATCGTAAATCATATTTCATATTACACTCTTAATAGAAGTATTATGGGATATATTTTTTGATAAAACTTTGCTTTTAATCGTACATGGTTTATATATATGAATAAATAGCTTTATGCAATTTGAAACGAAGAAAACAAACAAGATATAAATGAATTTTTAATTAAAATTTCTTTTTCGATAATTAATAACCATCGGTTTTGATATTTCACGTTTGATAAAAGATAACAAATTATCGAACGATAATAATTCGTAATTATTCTTATTGTATTTATATTAGTTTGGTATATAATGTTTTTTTTTTCTTTCTTTTAAATTTAAACATACCATATCATCAATCGCGAAATATTCTCTATAAATATTCAAGATAGTAGATATTACATTACAGAAGGTATCTCGAGGATTTTCTTTCATTTTTCTTCGTCTTTTAGACCTTTTTTTTCTTTTTTTTTTTTTACGTCTTATCTCCTTTTCCATCCTTCATGTCGATAATAATCTTACCGCCTCGTCTTACGAATTAGGTCATGCTGCCGATTATAATATCTATTCTTTATTAACGATTATAAGCCTCTTTTTCCCTTAAAATTATGCTGACTTATCGAAACGATACATATTTCTCGTTTAAAGTAAAATATTATATGAATAATTATTAAAAAAATAACGTCATTTTTTTTTATATGTGTTTTAAAATCATCCGAGAATTCATATATTTCTTCAAAGAGAAATATTAAACTTTACGTTTAGTCCAGGTTGTGAATCTTCAAAAAAAAAAAAAAAAATGAGAGTTAAAGAAGTACGTTTAATTAAGTACAGTAAAAAATTCATCCCGGTCTTTATTTCTTACTTTTCTCGCAAATAAACGTTTTTTACTGAAATGCTAAATTCTTCTTTGTGTTGAATTCTACGGGGTGGAAAAAAGAAAATTGCTTATTGTTACGAATATAGGAGGTGTACCTCTGTTTTATCCTAATATCTCGTACAATTCATCTTTTAATATTTCCCCCCATTCAATTTATTTTCATTTATATTATATTTCATTTGTATCGCAGACATAATTTGTACGATTTGTTTACAGATGTAAAATTTTTATTATGCATTATCGGAACGGGGCCAACGACCCCACCTTTTTGCGGTTCTAATGACGTTGTCCAAATCAAATCTCCAAGGATAAATTAATAAAGGATAATGATGGAAATTCATGCGGATCTATACGACACGATTATTAGAACGTATGAGGCACCGTTACGTTTATAGATGTCAACGAGATTAATTTGGAACAAAAAAAAAGAAAAAGAAAAACGAAGTAGTAGTAATAATAGTAGAAGAAGAAAAACCAAATATTTCATCTGAGGAGAAAAAAAAAATAAAGGCCGCGACGAATCTTTCATTCGAATAAAGTGTAAGAGAGACACGAACAAAAATTCAAGAAGAAAAAAAAAGAAATAACAAGAGGTGACAACGTAAGAGACAAGTAATTCGCCTAATTGCACAATAAGAAAAAGAAAAAAAAAAAAGAAGTTTAAATGTAAAACATTACACGTACGACCAGAAGCGAAGACAATCCTAGAAGAACAAAGTTACCTAATTAGAAAATACTTAAGAGTCGGATCTATTATAATTTATAATATAATGTGCGAAATAATAATGATTATTGTGTGCATTAAAAAAATCTATATATAAATATCTATATGTATACACGTACACACACTATTACATAAATCTTTATCGAAAGTTAATTGTTAAACAATAAAGAGAGAAAGAGAGAGAGAGAAAGAAAGAAAGAAAGAAAGAAAGAGCATACACACTCATCAAACATAGACGCGTACAGATACACACATAAGTCACTGTCCAAAAAAAAGAAAGAAAGAGATAATTTATATTATATTTGAACGTTGTTGAACAATAGTAACAGGATATATTATTATATAAATAAGCATATAAAAAAAAAAAAGTCTACTCTCGTACCTACTTGAGCCAAGTGATCAGAGTCTTGAAAGGTATCGTGATAAAGAACCAAAAAGAATTAAGGAAAAGAAGGAGAAGAAGCATCGTGCTTGTGTCGTGGAAGGGAAAATAAAGGGAAGGAAAAGGGGGTAGGCAAAAGGGCACATATATATAGTTAGTAAAAAAAAGAAAGTCTCTCGAGTGTCGATCTAGGGAAAAGGGAGTTTCTATTCGGTACGTCCACACTTTCAAAGCGCGTCAATTTATCCAACAGAGTAAAAGAAGAAAAACGAAATAGAAAGAGAGAGAGAGAGAGATAGAGGAATAAAAGTGAGTTTAAAAAAAAAAAAAATAAGAGGAAAAAAGCAAAAAGTTTCGGATGGCAAAGAAGAGGTAAATGTGTCGAAGCACACGGTGAAAATAAACGACGTTTTTCAAGCGAAAAGTGAAAAAAAGTTCTCTTATATCTTATTGTGAAATTCGAGTTTCGTCAAAAACTACGTATTTAAATATTTGGAAAATATGAAATCTATACAATTTATTATTTATAACAATTAATGTCTCCAATGCGTTAAACCTGATCGTGATATTTATTTACGGAAAGAAATAAAGAAATAAAGAAAGAAAGAAAGGAAAAAAAAAGAAAAATTCCTATCATCAATATGAATCTCGAGGTTGAACTTATTGCCGGAGTGGTCAAGGGTGGTTTACCACCACCTCATCTACCTGCTCCTAGGCTTATCAAAATATTTATTGCTGGCGAAAGGGATGGTAAGAATTATATTTCATTATTTATAATATATATTTTTTCTTGTGTTCTTTTTCTAATTGCTTAAACAAAATTTACCCATCTCTTTCTAAAGAAAATATATTATGTTTCATTTAAAGAGAGGGGTTGTTATACTGTAATCTATTTATTTGTATTAATATTATTAAAAGAAAAAACTTACATTGTAATTAATTGCCCGAAATATAAATAACATTATCAATTCAATTAAGATAAAATCAAAAATCTTACAATCTCGATCGTTGAATTAAAGTGCAAACGTATATAGAAAGGGCCGATTGAAATGGAAAGGTATTCGCTACAGGTGGAAACCGCTAAATCACTAAACTAATATAATTAGACTTGAATTCTCCAGTGATAAGAGTATCTTTTGAGAAAACACCGAAACGTTCCAATCTAATCTAATTGAATTGTTTGCTCTATATAAACGTCTTTCTTTGCTCGTTATTTCTCACGTTACACTTTTTTAAGATCGTATGACCGATACACACAACCCCATATTTGCCTATCAGTTTCTTATCCTTTTTGACGAAATTCATTTTATATATTTCTTTTTTCTTCTTTTCGAATATAACAATTAAATTAATATTATATATATATATATATATATTATATATTATATTTATATATTTTATATATTTTTATATATATATATATAAAAAATGAGAAAATAATAATTAAATATATTTAGAATTCTCAGTAGAGAGGAAACAATTATTGGAGGTGGTGGGTCCAGAACTGCAATCGATTTACGATGATATGGGAATTGAGGTAAATTATCGCACGATTAACACTAATTTTGACCAGATTATGCACGCACGAGCACACTTGTTATATTACAACAATAAATTGCCAGCTTGAAATATTTTCCGTCTACCGTGTAAATGCTATTAACAGATTACATTTGAATACGCGTAATGTATGATATTAATTATAATGCTTTTGCTGTCCAGGTATTATTGGTTGACATGCAATATGGAACCAATAAAGATCCAGATACTAATCCAAGATTGGCAGAATACTTTTTAGAAGAAATAAATGCTTCTCATCGACATTCCCGCGGTTGTTTTTTACTGGTGAGTAAATTTTTTTTTCTTATCAAATAATCGAGAGAGAGAGAAAGAGAAAGAGAAAAAAGTAAATGGATGGTATGTTCGGTAAGTTCTTTTTTTTTTTCATTTTGTTTCTCTCGTTAACATTTGTGTTCTTGTGTATCGTTATTTTTAAAGCTACTGGTCGGAGCCGATTACAATACAGGTTGGGTGCCTACCAAGTTCGAGGAAGAAACTTTCCATGCACTTCTCGGTTGCTGTTCCGTTCTGAGCGAGTATTACGTGCAAGATGGCCGTTATTATACATTGAAAGCTTCTAGGTAATACGCAATTCAGTTTTTATAGAAAAAAAAAAAAAAAAAAGAAAAACTATGCGTCCGTAGAGACGTTTTACATAAACATTCTTTTTTGTATATTTTAACTTTTTATTCAGATTGTAACTTTCCGACCGCAATTTACTTCCACCGTTGATTGTGTATACCTTTCGCAATCTCTTTCACTTCGAACTCTACAAAAATTCTAGTTTTATCCGTATACAAAGAGAGAAAAAAAAAAAGAAATAATATCTGTAACCGACGGGACAATATATACATTTATTCGTAATCATTCTCCATTTGATTTGATTGGATTTTTTTGTTCCTCGAAGTTGTAACCTTATTTTTTAATGATACTTTCTAAACTAATTTTACATTCATACAGAGTATTGTTTTCTATCTGACGTGAAAAGAAAATGAATATGTTGACAAAAAATTTAATTAAGTAGTGTCATCCCTCCTCCGTAAAACCCTCGCGTCCAATACAAACTGACATGCTAACTCAAAAGTTGATCAAAGTTGCATGCATATTTATAAGCTAAACTAAAAGCTTTGAGGTTGTGACGGTAGCGTATTTTAAAGTACAATGATAATGAAAGATCCCTATATTTCACAGATTTGTCTTATCTTTTTTATTTTATCTCATAACTCTTTTAAATCACAATCGTTTGAATATATAAAAAGAACATTGGATATAAAAATCGTTTAGACCGCGTTCGTCAAAATTATTACGTTACACGTCAGTTAGCAGTTCGATTCGACGTCAAGCTTATTAGAGTTAGGATACGTCTTGATTTAATTTAACTTGACTGGTTCCAATGTGACCGCAAGATAAGATGAATCGATGCCTTGCATGCTGACCCCGATAGTGTGGAAACGGCACAAGATGATTGGCAATCGACTCAGGAATCGAATTTGAGGACAATATTAAGAATCGCAGCTGAATCGGTTATCCTCGAGCAACCGGACAATAAGGAAATTCAAAACGTGTTGAAGAGTACAACGGAAAGACAGTTGGATTACGGCCTAAGTAAATTCATCCTTATATTTTATCTTTAACGAAATTACATTATTTTTTTTTCTTTTTTTTATTTGAGAGATTGAGAAATAGAGAAAACAAACTGCTGGTTATATCTGCGAATAACTTTTGTGTAGATCTTGACGAAGACGGGAATGGAATAATGGCTATTATTAGAGATTGGACTGGTAAAGATGTTCCGAAGGTCAGTCCCGGTGCTATGAGTTTCCGGTCACACATAAAATCGTGTTTACCAGATGAAAATGTGATTCACCTTGAAGTTGACTATAAACCCGACGGCATAGACTCGGACAACGACACCCATGAAAATTACTTGAATAAATTTAGACGATTCGTCGTAGATAGATTACAAAATTTAGCAAACGCGTCAATAGAGATCGATCCGGAAATCAAAAGTCGAAAAAAAATGGTACAGGAGGTTTACGCCGAAAGTATGGCACACTTATCGTTGTTACGCGAAATCAAACCTGCCGAAGAACATGACGAACCTATCACTCGTATAAAAAAGCTTTTGATATCCGGTAAGTTTCGATCAAATTCTAATAGGGAATTCATAAAAACGAATAATTAAATTTATTATTGCAAATTTACTTTTTAGGAATGGATCAAAAACACGGTCCTATTTTAATATGGGGTTCGAAGGCTTCTGGAAAATCTTCAATACTCGCTAGAATATATGAAAGTGTACCAGAATGGTTCGGCAAACCGACATTGAGAATTGTACGATTGTGTACGTCGACGCCAAAATCGGCTTACAGTTTAGAACTTTTACGAATTTTGTGCGAGCACATCGGTTTCTTGTCGGGTAACAACGACGGTAATCTTCCATTGGATGCTTCATTCGATCCTTTGTATTTGAATAATTGGTTTAGTCAAATAATGCGTGGCATCGAAACGCAACCTTTGTCGGAACAATTAATCGTTATGGTTGACGATCTGCATCGCCTTCACCCATTGGAATGCGATATTGTGGCTGCTTTATCATGGTTGCCATTAAACTTACCCCAGGGTATACATTTCATAGCAACTACTACGGTACCGCCGGAAGCATTACGACTGACGCCATTACAAAAAGAAAGACTCAAAAGCAGCGAAATACTTATCGAGCTATCCGACAAACGATGCAATCTACCTGACGTAGAGTTTGCTTTGGATAATCTGGAAAAGCTCGTCGGTCCAAGAGCAGCAAATAAAATCGGTTCGCTTTTAGCCTGCGCGGAATACGGTCTCTCGGAAACAGAGATTCTCGAATTAATAATGCCAACCGGAGGGGACGATCCATTATCATTAACATTGGGACAATATAATTTCGCAACGTGGTGTCTGATCCGTAGAACTTTGGCACCTTTATTAAGGGTTGGTAAAATTATTAAATTTATAATCATGTTGTTGTATTGTAATATATATGATATATATGCGAATTTACTTTTCTTATACATTACATATTATACATAATATATTCGCGTAATAAAGGTACGAGTAATGAGCGGCAGATTAATGTTCGGCTGGCGTTGGTTGAGTCGTGAAATCGCTCGAAAGAAATATCTTTCGGATCAAGACGTATCGAGAACGTGTCACGCCGAATTAGCGAATTTATTTTTTGCCGAAGAAACCGAAGATAGCGAGGAGAAATCACCACAGGTTCCTATAGAACCACCAGCAAAAGAAACACCTTTTCAGAGTGCACCACGATCACAAGATATCACTTATACCTTACGACACGTTGAAGAAGCCTGGCTTCACTTGCTTAGAGCTGGCGATGTTGACAAACTCAAAAGATTGGCCGTCTGTGCTTTTGATTTTCTTTTAGCTGGCGTACAAATGATTTCCGTTAGCTATTTACGATGCGTACTCGAACACGCGAGAAGATATCTTTTGGAAAGGGATTTGGAATTGGTATATTACGCTGTTAGAAAATCGAGCGACGTACTAACCAGAGATCCGCTTCAACTTGGAGCACAACTTATTTGTTGGTTAAGACCGGTAGCGGACGACGGCGGAGATCTTGTAAGAGATTTTTGTATTTTTGTATTTCATTTCTAAAGTCTTTCTCAATTTAATTCAATTAATTTGTACGTACGAAAGGTAAGCAGAATGGTTATGGCAGCAATGGCATGGTGCGATGGTTATACCGCACCTCTTTTAGTTCCTTTAAATGGTTGGCTTCAACCTCCTCTACCTCTTCAAATTCGTGCTTTGTCTTGTCCACAAGGTGTCCGTTTAGTTGAAGCTGCGCCATCGGGTCAACATGTTGTGGTTGTTCCACCGCAAGGAGATGCTCAACTCTGGCACGTAATGTCTGGTCAGCTAGTACACACTTTTAAAGGTATCAATTATTTCATACTATCTATCTATCTATCTTTGTTCGTATATTTTTAATCAGATTTTTAATAATGATTTATGAACGATTTAATAATATAAATATTATACTTTAGGTCATTCTAGTCCGATATCATGTTTAGCGATTACTCAACAATCTCAATATCTATTAACTGGTTCCGAAGACACTTCCATTATCGTTTGGGATATGAAAGAATTATCATTGAAACGACGAATTTGTGAACACATAGCACCCGTTCTTACGTTAACGGCAGCTATAAATAACTCGATTATTGTAAGTGGTGGGGAAGATTCGAGTATCATTGCAACTAGTTTACTCACTGGAAAGGTATTAGTGAAAATTGATCATCACAGAGGACCCGTTACTGCAATACGTGTAGATTCAGCCGGAGAAGTTCTTGTATCTGGCTCGACAGATGGAAAAGTCTGCTTATGGTCTTTAGAAACTTTTACTCTTCTCAACAGCATATCGTTACCTTCTCCTGTAGCCAATCTCGATGTATCAGCTGATTCTGTATTCTTGTTGGCTGCTTGTGAAGATCAGAAACTTTATTTAAGATCATTAGCTACTGGGACAGAAATACATACATTAAGAGGTCATCAAGGTCCTGTTAGAAGTTTATGTCTTGCCAGAGATTGTAGAAGAGCCATTGCTGGTGGTATAGAAGGCAGAGTTTCCGTTTTCGATATACACAGTGGTAGACTCATCAAAACCCTACCTGCTAATCCTTCTGCAGATGTTACGTCTGTTAAGGTAACTAGAAATCTTTGATGATATACAAATATATAGAATGAACTAATTCAAACAAACTCGACGTATTATATAGGTTACCGAAAAAGATGATTTCCTTATAACTGCTGGTGGAGGGCGTGTAACTTATTGGAGTTTTCGAGGAGAAGAAGCTCCTTCAAAACCACAAAAGCTTGGGAAACAAGAATCACTTCAACCGCACACTTCACCTATATCCTGTTTAGATATATCTAGGGATGGTGCAATGGCAGTTACGGGTGGTGTCGATTCATTAGTCAATTTGTGGCAATTAAATACCCATGAATTAATGTCAACGTTGGAAGGTCATATAGCAAGCGTTACGTGTATCACATTTTCTGCCTCTGGATTATTTGTAGCGTCGGGTAAAATATCAATCGATTATATATTGGCAATGTAAATCTTTATAAATACAAAACAGAAATAGAGAAGAATATAAGAAGAAATGTTGTTCTAGGTTCGGAAGATAAAACGGTACGCGTTTGGGGATTAACATTGGGCCTTGTTGTAGCTACGTTTAGACATCAAGCAACTGTTACTTCTGTCATAGCTATGTTAGATGGTAGAAGAGTTGTCAGCTCTGACAGGGCTGGAATTATTAGAGTATGGGCAGCAGATAATGGAACTTTGATTCAATCTGTTTGTGGTCCGGGACGATGTTTTGCCGTTGCCGCTGACATGAGGTATTACAATAGAATTCTAATGTTGTTAGAATAAAATAACGATTGTTTTTGAATATTTCAATGAATTTGTATTATTTTAGATTTGCGGTTTGTGGTACCGGTGACAATCAAGTTCGAATAATAAGTTTGGGAGCTGGTCCAGAAGAGAAGCATCAAGTTTCTCATTCACAAGATATTACGTGTTTAGTAGTAACGCCTGATTCACAATCTCTTATTACCGGTTCTAGAGATATGAGTCTTAAGGTGTGGCAACTTGCCGGTGGAAAATTATCACAGGTCAATGAAACGTCAAAGATATATACTCGATAAGATAAGTTGATTTTTCTTTATCAAATCTATTATAGTGACAATTATTTTACAGGTTTTGGTGGGTCACACCGATCACGTAACTTGCGTGGCGGTAGCAATACTTGACAAATCTATCGTCGTGTCTGGTTCTCGTGACGCTAATTTGATAGTATGGGATATAAACACAGGAGCAGATTTGCATACTCTAACTGGTCATCTCGGTTATGTAACCTGTGTCAGATTGTCCGGCGATGGTATTCTGGCAGTTTCCGGTAGCGAAGATAAGAGTTTGATAGTTTGGGATACGAAGAAAGGCACTGCTTTAAATTCTATTATGCTTCATGTACCAATACTTGGTGTTGAGATGTCTACCGATTGTTCGAGATTAGCATTGCACTTATTAGAACACAAATGCATGCCCATTCTTTGTCTGTATAATACACCAGCTCAATATGTTAAACTTCCACCGTACGTTGCTCCGAGAGATTTACGACCACCCGGTCCTAAACGTCCTGCTAGAAGATTATTGAAAAAAGAGGTTTCTTTGGATACGTATACGTGGCAACGCAAATACGGTCATCTTACAACTGGTACGTATCTTATTTTATTTTCTTTTTTTGTTGAGGGTTGCCTACAAAATTTGTGCCTATTCTGAGAGAAAAGTATATATATATTGTGCATTAAAAAAAAAAAAAAAACATATAAATCGGCGCGAATTTTTTAAGCAAACCCAATGATTGTTATCTACATATCTAAATTGAATAAATATCCTACATAGATTGGATTTTTGATTATGTATATTAAGGTATAACGGTATCAACTGTCGAAGAAAGATTGAAACGACGATTCAGTGTTAGTGCTTCTATGGAGGAAATTAGTAAAGCTGGATTAGCTAGTTCTCAGCCAGGGTTAGGTCCAGAACAAGCAGCATTGGCTCAGTCCCAACATTTCGATCAGTTGGAAGCTATTTGGAACAAACAATCTCCACCACCAAGACCACGTGGTTTAAGAACTTTGTCTAAACAAAGTTCACTTCAAACAACTCGAATATCTGACTCCGAAGAAGAAGGTAGGCGTGCAATGTCGTGCATCGCCTCCTAATTACATTTTTAATTATTTGTTGTTAAATTCCATTAGATTTTATTGTCGCATAGTTATGTAGTATTTATCGCCTTCATTATAGTTTGAACAATATGATAGATTAATGCTTAGTTATTGCATTATAGTAATGCTTTCACGTGTCATTAGTGGTATATTTTGAATATATTTATTAAAGATATATCATAATATAGAGATATTTGACGATAACGTAATCATGAACATTACGTTCTCTAATGATACGTGATAATAGTGTTAACTCTTAAATATTGCACTTGTTGATATTATGCCAACACTGAATATCAAATTTGTCTTCCAATTCTATATAGTAACGAGTCGTCTTTATCTAAACGAAGAATAATGCGTTTTATTTTTTTTTTTCAGATTTAAATACGCGTACATTATAAATGTTCGTGTATAAAATATATATATTTGTGAGATAAAATATGTTGTACGAATTAAAAAAATATATTTCAATTAATTTTTTTCTCTTTTTTCTTTCATATAGATTATAATTAAATTTTTATACCGAAAGTATTTCGGAAAAGCATAATCATTGTTCGTAAAGATTTTCAATGAATATTAGATAATTTTGACGATTGCGTTATTATTCGAAAAGATCTGTTTTGTTTAAACGTGAAATTAATTTTAATATCATAATAACAAAAACACACACACACACACACACGGATAGGACATTTTTTTTAATTTTTTGTTTGATTAAATAGTGATACATATTAAGTTATTTATAGTTCGTAAATTTTAATCGTTTAATTATTGTAATTAGTAAAATTGTATGTCATCCTGCATGATGCAATATTGATTGCAAAATTTCTGTTGCAGATATTATATTTCTCTATAGATCATTGAAATATTAGCATGAATTAGATAAATATTTAGATTTTATTTTGTTCCGTTATATTAAATCGTATAATAGTTAAAGTGAGAATATTTTTTATGTTTAAATGTTTGCGAATGCTTAGGCAAATGATTTTCCTTGGCTATAATATATATCTAAACAATATAAAACATATATTTAGATATTTGTGGACACTCTATTACAGATCTTCCAGATTAAAATGAATTCCTTTGAAGGAGATGGACTATTATCTAGGATAAAGAGCCTTTAGCTGAAAACTATACACCTACCATATTCTTTCATCCTTCGACTATCAAGTATATTTTACGTTAAGAATACTCTGTGTCCGTACCTTTAATAAAAATTAAATAAAGGTACCCCAAGTCGATAGATATTAGAAAAAGGTGGGAAAACGTAAAACTCATTCGTTGATTTTATTTCTAAATAATCAACGACTTTTAATTATTCTCCCGTAAGATGATAAGAATCATTATTTTCTTAATACGTTATATATATTTACATATATATATATATATTAGTTTTTATTTTCTATCAGTAAGATTTTTACAAAATGTTTTTTTGTTTTTCTATAAAAATATAGATTCGAATGATTATAAACATATATTAGAAACCATATTGATCTTTGTTAATCTAGAATTTCATTTACATTAAATCTTTCGTTAGTAAATAAATAATTATACTGAATTTTTTAATAGCAATATAGTATTATGTTATTGAATAATATAAATACGTAAAAAATATTATCTAAATTATATCTAATAGTCCAATTGATCGAGAAATTATCATTTATTGTTTATTCTCTGATAGTATTCTGATAAGATTTTCCATGCTTTCGGTGTCATAAAACCTTCTGGTGGATTTTCTCCAGACTTCGCTAAAGCTAATGTAAACAGTAACAAATATTTGATTTAAGAGAAATCTTTTCCTCCATTATCTTATTAACATTGCTTATGTATTCATTTATTTAACAGATGTAAAATATTCAAACATTTTACCTCTCATTTTCGTTCCTGAAATAAATATAAAATCATTTTGTCTTTTGTGATCATAAAAGGCCATTTTTTGTTCTTTTATATCGTAAGCGGCTACTCGGAAAGGTATAATTTCAAGATTTTGAAGACCAGGTGCCATCGAAAGTACTTTAGCACCATGTGTACTGTCATATAAATTACCATCGGGTGTAGCGTTTTTATTCGGATGTGGTATACCGGCAGGATCTCTGCCAATTATATAAAAATTAGCGCCAGCGATTAATCTACCTTTGGCATGCCATTGTACCTGTGGAAATAAATATCATTCATACGATAAACAACAATTTGAAATATATGAATAGTATAAGTTTACTTGCGACGTTATTAAATCTATCAATAAAATGTTATTCTCACTTCTGTTGGTCCTGCATATAACATGGGACTAGGGAATATAGCTAAAATCGTATCCTCGTGTAAGATACCATCTTCTAGAACAGCTTGGTGTTGTTTTATTCTAACAGGCAAAGGTACATCGTCGTCTTTCGTCCAGCCACCCAAAGGATGCAAAAGAAGAACTGGTTTACGGTAATTACGTTCGAGCAAACGTTTTCTTGTGTCCTTTAAAAATATCATTCTTATGTTTGATACTTTTTAAATTTAATATGAAACACCATGAAAACGTTATGCAAATAATATAACATTTGTTACCTGCATAAGAAGGGCATGCCCATCGTGTATAGGATTTCGAAGCTGAAAAGCGAATACTGCATCCGCGCCGATCTGACGATATTTAGCTCTGATCTCATTAGGAGTCAATCTATATTGGTCAAGACCATCGTTCCATCGTATTCTTTCGAGTACCTCGAGTTCACCGCCTAACAACCAATCACCTGATTCGTGTATCATTTTAACGTAAGGATGACCGGGATCATTTGTGCCGAATTCTCTCGAACAACGTTCTTCCTTACGATGAAAATAAAATTCCGGATTCCTAAGAATCGCGATACTTTTTTCATTGTATTTCAAGGTTAAAGATTTAACGTTCTCACAACGTTCCTTGTCGATACTACTAACAGCGAGAACTATCGTAATTGACTGATTTATTTGAACACCATTTTCCGTTAAGCAATTGAAATGTTGAGCCTGAAACGTTAACGAGATTTCTTTATTTTCCCGCACGGATATTGGAGAAGTATAACAAGAGAGAGAGAAAGAGAGAAAGAGAAAAAAAAGATATTCAAAAGGAAAGGAACATTTACTTGTAAATATTGTTCCTCCGTCATAAATCCTTTAAGCGGAGCTGCCCAACCTTCGGCGAGAACTTGAATCCATTGCAAATCGATTTCGTTGATTTCAATCGCTTGTAAATATTGTGCCTCTATTTTAATATCATCGATCATCGATTCGGGAACAAATAATTCATCGACTGGTCTTCCCAATCCGTACATCTTTGGTATGATAGAAAGATTTTCAAGAAATTCGATAACCTTGGCAGTAGATTCCTCTACCGTTGAATTTTCCGTGTTAACAACGAAATCAGGTTTCATTGGTATTTCGTATTTTTGATCGATACCGGTAAAACCCTTGATGATACCAGATCTAGCTTTCTTATAAAGACCTTTAACGTCTCGTGCCTCGCAAATTTTCAATGACGCGTCAACGAATATCTCAAAGAACGGTAGTTCCGAATTTTCGTGAATTTTTCTTGCCATCCTCCTATCTTCCTCGAAAGGTGACACGAAACTACACAAAGTAATTACACCAGCATCGGCAAACAATTTGGCTACTTCGGCAACTCGTCTAACATTTTCTTCGCGATCCTCTTTGCTAAAACCCAAATTCCGATTTAAACCGGTCCGAACGTTATCCCCATCCAAACCATAAGCTGGTATACCCTGTAATATAATTCAATATTGCAATGTGTAATCGTTAATTAAAATTTGATTATATATATATATATATAATATCAATACTCTACCTGGGATACAAGAAATTCTTCTAGCTTGAACGATATGGAAGTTTTTCCAGCTCCAGAAAGTCCTGTCATCCATATCGTACATCCACGAAAACCACGAATAGTACCAACAGCTTGGCCACGTTTAGCTCTTGATACATGATGAGCTTGAGATGTTACATTTGTCGCGAATGTCTGCAAAAATATTAGACCCTATTCCTATAATATCTATATTTCCTATATCTAATATTTCAATCTTTTCATTTAAAAATAAAGTCAAGATACGAACTAGGCACGTCCTCTTCTAATGTTTATTAATTTTGTTATTATTAGGTGATAATATGTATAACTTTAAAGAATTTGTGAATAATTCATTTATTACCTGTCTCGCAGAGTTTTGATTTTCCGTTTTTTGTCGAAGAAATCCCATTATTCGATAAACAAAATTCTTATCGAAGTATTAGTCTTAAATTCTTCGACGGAACTAACGTGTTAAAATATGATATTTGTGTGTAGATATTATCGTAAGAATGATTATTATCTGAGTTTATATAACGTATTTTTGTTTTTTAATAATAAACAATTATTAAAGTTCAATTGGTTATTAGTTATCTCGCGTACGATAAGTTTCCGTTATTGATTAATCTTTTATTCTTTGTTATTATCCAATTAAACTCGATAAGTTTGATTACTTCTGTCATGTAACATAAATATGATATAATTATTTAAGGAAAACGATTTCGAAGAATATAATCTTAAAAATCATGAATTTTTATAACGGTCAAATGACCGCTCATGGTAGGTTTTTTGTGTTAAAATAAAAATAAACGATTGTGAAAATAGTTTCTTTTTTCATTGCATATAAATTATATTAAAGTAGTATAATTTTCGTGTAACTAATTGCAGATGCACTTAGAACGATAAAAATTTTTTCAAACTATATAATTTAACGATTTTTTTCTTTGACAAACTTTTCACAAAAGTTATTTTACAAAATATATTTTTATTGTTTTTATACAACAACTCGTGTATAAGTCACACCTCGTAATAATAAAACACACTGACAAAAATACGACGATTAGTCGTATATAAATTGCTTACGAATTGCATTCCGTGTTAAGCGTGGAATAAGACTGATGGCATGCTCGCGAGAAAGTTAAAAGAAAGTGACTTTCATCGCTAGTTATGCCAACAACAAAGGAACCAGTTCTCGTCGGATATCATTGACCTCCAAAATGATAAATTCTCAGCACTCTAAGCGCAATTAAATGAAATGAAATTTACATTTCTTATCAAATTATTTTTTATATAATATGTAATAACAAACGATTAAATTATATTGTGCAAAATTTATTATTATCATCATTAATCATATTTATTTTATTATATTATTGAAATTGAGCAATGAAAAATATTTTTAATTTTAGATGAAAAAAGTAAGTGATACCCAGAACATTGTTATTTAACATAAATTGTATTAATTAATATTTAATAATCATTTATAATTTAAACAGACGAATTTCCATTAAATATGGTCGGTGATAATTTATTAAAATATGTATTATAAATTGTCGAATGTTATGAAGAAATAAATTATTTTTAATTAGTACAATTATATAATAAATAGATTTAATTCTGAATATTATTTTCATCCGCACGCGCGTCTGTTTTTGAAGTTGATTATAATGTAATATTAATTCTAAAAATAATCTGAAAAATAATAAGTAAAAAATACCCGATAAACCATGTGTTACCTCGAATGATAATTGCAACAATGCATGTACAATTTATTATATGACTTGGTTAAAAACATTTTGCAATTGATTTCAAAGGAAAACTATTCGAATGCATGTCGGTAATTGTTATACAATCTTATTATCAGACTGATTAGCCGTTCGTGCTTTTAAATATCTAATCTAAAATAGGTACTTTTATTTATAAAATAGTTAAAAGTTTTTACAAAATTTTACTTTATACCAAAAAATGCAAATGCTGAATAATCAAAAAAAAAAAAAAAATCAAAAAAAAAGGAAATGTTTAAAATATAAAAACGTTTATAAACTTGGTGATTTTTATTTGAATTTTTATCTTTGGAGAATTATTTAGTACAAAATAATCTGTACGTGTTATCTTCGCTTTATTTTTTATCGGGGAAAAACATATAGCGACGATGATATTTTGAATATAAATGATAATTTTTTCAAACGCGGAACAATAAGATTATTTTGGGGATTTCTGAGAAATTATGCAATTGTAAATATATCTTAAATTGCGCAAGACTTGTCATGTTATATTTCGTTATGTATCCAATTGACGAAATATATATAATATTGAGTGATATTATTCAAGATTAAATACTCCAACAATAATAGTTAAATATGTAATGTTACATGCATTGTCCTTGAGAAATAGTTAAAATAAAAACTTGTCATGATAAAAAGAAGCAACAATGAAACACGTACCAGTTAGAATACGCTTTTTATAGAAGTACTGCGTATACAGAGTATGATTTGAGTATGACTATGAGTATGTTAATTCTTCGAATTAACCAAATTCATTATCTTGTTAACAGAGAGATATATTAAAAACAAAGATTAATGTAACAAAGAAAAAATATAAACTTTTGTCAGTGAAAATAAAATAATATCGTAAATAAAATTACCATAAGATCGAATAAATCGAAATATGATATCGAAAATTAGATTTGATTTACATATGCAGATGACGAATGAAAACTTACCCTTTTTTTTACACCATTAGTAAGATTACATTCCATTTTTTTTTTCAATATTTCCGTTAGTTCGAATAAAATTTGTTTCCGATGTATTACAAGTTAAATTAAAAACGTTCGATTAAATATTTCTTTCGTCTCTTTTTTTTTCGACAATTAATAAATAATTAATAAATAAATAATAAATAATTAAAATGGATTTAAAAATAAATTAATTAGGACTTTAGCAGCGTATTTGTTGTTTTTTTTTAATAGAAAAAATTTTTTAATAATTCACGGGATAGTCGAGTACGAACTATCGAAATAACAGAACAACGAATAGAATAAGATTGAAGCAGCGACTGTTATACTATGTTACAGAATGAATTACACATGTGTGCCTTCCATATATTATGGTTATAGAGTAGTAAGACGAAGCGATGCTTTAGGTGGGGGGAAAAAAAGTCCTTGGTAGTATGCCAATTTTCTTTTTATTATCGTTACCTATTTTTTTTATCGAAAAACAAAGTTGATGGAAAAACTCGAGGTCAGCGGAGATATAACTTTTTGAAAGTTTGAACTGCAGGTGACCACCGGAGCTAAAGTATCGTAATTGTTTCCATAACGAATGGGAACAAAAAATTGAAAAGTAGAGGTATCGATGTCTTTGCAGAAATATTACCCTCTTTTTGTTTTGTTTCTACTTTTTTCTTTTTCTTTTTTTCTTTTTTTTTCTTTTTTTCTTTTTTTTTTTACACGTTTCATAGAAACTTCGTACTTTGCAAGTCAACTATTTTGAAAGATCATTGCATTCTTTGACACGATAGTAGTAGAAATAAATGTCTAACATTGATATTATACAAATGAATTTTATATGATAAAACGTGGCGAAAGGTTATCAGATTTCATTATCTGTATGTGCGGTCTATTCGATAAGCCAACGATTGCTCAGAAGCAAACATATTGATGAAAACACGTTAGTCAACTTTTTTTTTATCATTTCTTTCGAAATTTAAAACGTAAGAAATTATATCGGAAGGGGAAAGCTTTTCTCTTAAATTCATTTTTTATGAATACTAATTTCTTATTACTTATACATTTGTAAAATAGAACGATACACAACAGCCTCTCCATTTCGTCTCCTCATATAGAAAATATCTATTTCTTGAAGTGTAATTTTTCTTGATTTGCTACATCGCATGGTAATTCAATAGGATTATACTTCGATTACATTATATCTTAAAGAGGTCAAAAATACTACCATGAGGCTTAATAAGTGATGTTTAACGTAATGTAACATCGATTTGGATGCGGAACTAAATACGCAGGCGTTGCATCATATAGAAAGTTGTAATTATAAAAGACGAAACTATAAATTATTTTTCAATGATATAGAAAATCTTTTCCATTTCATTTTTCTTCAATTAAAATGTCGAGACAAAAAAATCTTTATGGTTAGAAGCGACATTGATCTAAAACAAATCACACGGATAACAAATTTCAAAATCAAGTTTTCTTCGATATTCTGCATTTTTCCAATCTTCCGTCATTAAAAATTATATTTATTTAATACTGTTTATTTATATAATTAATTGAAAGATAATTAGTTTTTTATTATTTAAAGAGTGATACAATGGTTTTTACAAGTTTTTTCATTTAATTTATAGATCTCTAAATTTAATTTATAGATCGTAATGCCGTACTTTTTAAATGTATGCATAATGCAATAATGCATTTCGATCGACTATCGATATTTGGAATACAATCTAGTATCGAATTATTCACCGTAGGAACGTAGATAAGGAACCTTAATAGCAGAAAAAAATGCATAAGTGCTCTTAATTGCACACTATTTGATCAATCAAAATCCATAATTGCACACCTTATCAATTAATTATTTAATTAGTTAGTAATAATTGAAAACACAAAAACGTTTTTTCTCATTTCTAAGCAAAGCAATGAAGTTTTCTATTGTTTTTTGTTTTCAATTAGATGCTGTAAACAAAATATCTATATTAAATTTTTAAATGTTGTTTATTTTTAAATGCATATAGAATTTAATTACACATTCAGTTTGTATAACTATTTTTTATTAAAAGTTACTAGGAAATAGGAAAGTTAAAAATATATTGAAATTCTAGTAACATGACTAAGCCGATATCGGTAATATTAGTGCACTACCTTTATCTTACCGACCGAGATCCGATGGTAACTTACTATAGGATTACGACAGCATAGAAAACCTACGGCAGTAAGAAACTAATATGTGCAACCTATGGGGCACTAACATATCATTGTTTATCCATAATTGTTTGCCTTAATTCACACATAGCTGTCATGTCATATCATTATCCACGAGGGCGGCGGTGATGTTCTTAAATTTAGATTTAAGTACGTGTGATTTCATAAATAAACAAATGAAATTAATAGGTCTCTTTGATGTTTTTGTTTTAATTACTGTTTCTAAAAACCGGACTAAGCGACTAGACGCGCTCTCTAGTGGCAATAGAAATCATCCTTTCATTTTGAATATTGTAGCCACATTTATAACACAGCGATCGTCCTCCTTGTATACAGGTTTCATGATTCTTTGGTATAACACACCGTACAATATTATAACACGTGGATAATAAAACGATTCAATGTTTACATTGATTTTATATTGTTGTTTATGTTAAATAATTACTCGTTCAGTCATTAATATAATAATTATTCAAAGTGGTTAAAATTAGAATTGAATATTAAAAAAATGGGGAAAAAAAGGTACAATTGGAAAGCACGAAATGTATCTGAAATTGAGATAGATAATACTGAAATCAAAAAGGTATTTTTATTTATAATTAGAAGAATAATTTTCTTCATTACTTTTTTCTTCTTTAACAATATTACAAATATTTTCAATTTTGTTCACAGATATCTTTAGATATACAACATAGAGAAGATAATTATGATGAATGTAATGCTCTGGTATTACCAAATCAAAAAAGGAATACTAAAAATAAGGAAAAGAAAATACCAGTAATGCGTATATTATCTAAAAAACGTAGAAAGCAATTAGAAAAAATAGTAGAAAAGAAACAAAAAAAATTACAAGTGAGTTAGAAAGAATAAATTAAAATCTTATCGTTAAACACGTTCTAATTCTACATACACTTTGTGCGTTTTAAACAGAGATCAACGTTACTAGAAAAATTAGCTGAAGTACAAGCCCCGGAAGAAGAATTAAAGAAATATGTTTCCTTGACTGCAGTTCAAACAAAAGGATTGAAACGTCACTTTAGAGAATTAAACGCACCTACTGTAGAAACTTTAATTAATCCAATCGATGATGAGTGTGCTATAAATAATACAGAATCTAAATTAAACACGATTAAAGGTGCAAAAAGAAAAAGATTGTCTATACTTAACAACATAGAACAGAAGTTCTCTAACTCAGATCCGAACATTATTGGATTTGATGTAAGTTATAAATGTGGTATGAATATGAATAAATATAGTAAAGTATAATTTATTTTAGAAATCTAGCGAAAGCGAATCCGAGTGCAGTGATAATGAATGTGAAAACGACAATGACCTAGAATGTAAACAAGAGAAAAATGAAATTGATATTACGAATGAAACGAATCTTATAAAAAGAGAAGAGGAAAAAGAAGAAAGGAACAAATCGGAAGAAAAAAATATTAATTTGGAAGAAATCAAATCCATTGAAAATGAACATGAAAAGACTTTACCAGATGCACAATTAAAAGTAAAAGTATCCCAAAATACTATAGCTAAAAGCAACGTAACTAAAACACCAGCAGTTTTTGTTACATTAAATAGAAAAGAAGAAATTCAAGCAGCTAGATTAAAATTACCGGTTGTAGCAGATGAACAAGTTATCGTAGAAACTATTAATGAAAATTCAGTAGTGTTAATTACTGGAGAAACGGGTAGTGGTATGTATATAAAACTATTAATAAATATTATAATTGGAATAAACAATTATTGTATGTGAATATTAATTCAAACAATTGATTATAGGTAAAACAACACAGGTGCCACAATTTCTGTATGAAGCAGGTTATGCAAGAAATAAATTAATTGGTATAACAGAACCCAGGAGAGTAGCAGCAATGTCTATGAGTAAACGAGTAGCAGAAGAAATGAATCTTACTGAAAAGGAAGTTTCGTATCTTATACGTTTTGAAGGAAACGTTACACCAGAAACAAAAATTAAATTTATGACAGATGGAGTATTATTAAAAGAAATACAAAATGTATGTAATGCCACATATTTAATTATGTTATAACAAATTAAAATATAATAAGTATATACATTTTTTTTTTTATAGGATTTTCTATTGACGAAGTACTCAGTAATAATTTTGGACGAAGCACATGAACGAAGTGTTTATACTGATATATTAATAGGATTATTGTCTCGTATTGTGCCACTGCGTAATAAAAGGAAAGATCCACTGAAGCTTATCATTATGTCAGCAACATTATGCGTTGAAGAATTTGTTGAAAATTCGAAATTATTTAAAGTTAAACCCCCAGTTATTACAGTGGAGTCGAGACAATTTCCTGTAACAATACATTTTAATAGAAGAACTAACGATGATTATGTCAATGATGCACTAAAAAAAGCAATAAAAATTCATACACATTTACCGGAAGGAGGCATTCTTATATTTTTAACAGGTATTTTCATATTTGATATATAAGTTAAAAATATATATTTTCTTAATATTTCAATAATATATTTTAAATATTTTCATATATATAACAATATATTATTTAAAAAATATAGGCCAGCAAGAAGTGAATTTAGTTGTACGTAAGTTACGTAAAGCATTTCCATTTAAAAAAGATCAAATTAATATGTTAGAAACACAAAAAGTTGAAAAAAACGAAGATACAAATAAAAGTGATCATGATGAAGAAAATTCAGAGGATGACTTTGATGACAAGGAAGCAATAAAACGAGATAAGCAAAAACATAAAAAGCAATCTCTTAATTTACCGCGTATTGATCTAGATAAGTATGTACACATAAACTTTTATTTTTACATATTTAAAAAATGTTAAAAAGTTATAAAAATTCTTTGAAATAATTTTATAGCTATTCGATACTGCCTATGGACGATACGCATGAAGATATTGTTGATATCGAAGATGGAGATGAGGAAAGTAATTTAGATGAAGGTGAAAGCGAAGATGATGATGCTGTTCTCTTAAAAGGATTATCAAATGCACAACCATTGTGGGTTCTACCACTTTATTCTCTACTCCCTAGTTATAAACAAGCCAGGGTACATATAAACTTTTAGTAATTATGCAATATTATTCGAATAGTTAGATTAAACAAGAAATGTTTTATACAGGTTTTTGAAAAACCTCCAGAAAACTGTCGTTTGTGTGTAGTATCAACGAACGTGGCAGAAACTTCATTGACAATACCGAATATAAAATATGTCATTGATTGTGGTCGATGCAAAATGAGAATGTATGATAAAGTTACTGGCGTGAGTACGTATCATATCTGTTATACGAGTAAAGCTGCTGCAAATCAGCGTGCAGGTAGATCTGGCAGAACGGCACCTGGTCATTGTTACAGGTAACACGATGATATTTATTCTGGTTTATTAACGATGTATAACACTTGACACATTTATGAATATACCTTTTTTATTATCATTTCTTTTTTTAGATTGTATTCTTCTGCAGTTTTCAATGACCAATTTCCAAAATTTAGTGTGTCTGAGATTCAAAGAAAACCAGTTGATGATTTAGTTTTACAAATGAAAGTTATGAATATTAATAAAGTCGTTAATTTTCCATTTCCAACTGCACCAGATCCTTTACAATTAAAAACTGCTGAAACACGTCTTCTAACTCTAGGTGCTCTAGAACGATCTTCTCTATACCAAGAAGGTAAAAAGATCATGATATTGCTTGTTATGTTCATTTTCATTAACCACATTATCATCATATTTTAGATACATTTAATGCAAAAGTAACTCCACTTGGACGCAGCATAGCAGCATTTCCAGTTGCTCCACGATATGGAAAAATGTTAGCATTGTCACATCAACATAATCTATTGCAATATACAATTTGTATGGTCGCAGCTCTTTCTGTTCAAGAAGTTTTAATAGAAAGTCTTAACATGGAGGGTAAATTAAAAAATAAGTGGTTGCAAACACGACGTATTTGGGCTAAAATTGGCAATAGTTTACTTCTTGGTATGTATATTATCAAATAATCTTGTATCTAACAAATTAATAGCAATATACATGTTTGTCCTTTAATATATTTATTTTAATATAATATATGTTATTTAATTGTGTAAAGGCGATCCAATGGTTTTGATAAAAGCAATTGGAGCAGCTGAATATGCAGGGTCTAAAGGAAAGCTTATATCTTTTTGCGAAGAAAATGGTTTGCGTCATAAAGCAATTGTAGAAATTAAAAAGCTCCGACAGCAATTGACTAATGAGATAAACCTAAATGTGCCAAACATAAATCTTATTATTGATCCAAGGTAAATACTATTTGAAAGCCAAATGTAACTGAGGCAAGTATTTTCTATAATTTTGTTCGTTTGATACAGCATGTCTCCTCCTACGGATATACAAGCAAAATTGCTACGTCAAATACTTCTTGCTGGTATGGCAGATCAAGTCGCACGGAAAGTATCTTCAGAAGAGGTTGAAGATCAAGATAAAGCAAAATGGAAATATGCTTATAAGTAAGTATAACAAAAATTATGTTTTTTATTGTACTATACTAATATAATACATTTTCATTTTCAGAACTGCAGAAATGGAAGATCCTGTATTTATGCATTCATCGTGTGTTCTTCGAAAGACAAGTCCAGAATGGGTTATTTATCAAGAAATATACGAAACTAATAAATTATATATGCGTGGTGTAACTGCGATAGAACCAGAATGGCTACCAAAGTTTGCTCCAACCTTATGTACATTAAGTGAACCTCTAATGGAACCTTCCCCAAGGTCAGTATTATATTCTCCTGACGTTATTTTTAATAGTTATGTGTATCAAAGACTTCTATAATTTGTAATAAGTGACTGATAATTTATTTACTAAAATACGGTTTTAATTTAGATATGACATTGACTCTGGAAAAGTTCTGTGTCACATAACAGGTACATTTGGTCGAGCTGGTTGGCAATTACCAATGATGGAAATAGAACATCCGATGAATGTAGAAGGAGTAAAATGGTTTGCAAAGTTTTTTTTAAATGGTGAAGTGTGTTCAAAATTAAAAAAATTTGTACCTTCATTGTTATCTACGCCAGCCAGCGTAAATAAATCCTGGGCTAAGTATGTTTTTGCATATTGTCTTGAAAATGTTACAATTCATTAATATCATAAATTATTAAATGAAAAATTGTCTTTTAGATTATTACCACGTACAGAAGCAATAACAAAAGCTTTAATATCAGAAGGAATTATGTCAAAATGTAAATTAATAGATGTTTGGGATAAAGATAAAACTTGTAAGTATATATATGCCTTAGCAGTATTGATTATTCAAATTTAATTTTCATATATTAATTATATTTTTTCTCTAGTCCTTTTGTCTGCTTATCAGAAGTGGTTACCAGAATCAACACATTCGGAAATATCTTTATTATGGCCACCAATATAATTTATATTGTCTATTTGTAAATATGTAAATATGTGACATATGAGTATGTATAAGTATTATTAAAAAGCAATCGATAATTGATATTTGCATTCAAAGAAAATTTATATATAACAGATTAACACTAAAAATATAACAGTAAACTTGACTGTTACCAAAATTTCTTATAAAGATAATGGATCTAATGGAAGTATTTACAGAGCTTTGAAATTTATTTTGAGCTAAGCTTTGGTTTATAAAGATTATATTGAATGATTTTCTACATAGTAGAAACCATTTCTAATAAAGTTTACTATCTAATACTATTAAATATTTAAATAGTATTACTCAGTCTTTATTGCTTTCTTTTCTTTTCTTTTAGTATGATTCTTCTTACATTCTCTATAGACATTGTTAAGATCAAATGCTGCTTTTACGTTATCCTAAAAAAGTAATATTCTTATTATAATAAAATAGAAACAAGATTATGATAATGTAAAAGCATGCATTGTATTACTATACTTTTATAGATTATTAGGAATTAATTTAATTAATATATACCATAGAAAAAAGAAATTTGACGAGTTTGCCCTTATGATCAGCATGTGGTCTTCTTTCTATTTCCTTTCCATCTTTAAATAATATCACAGTAGGCAACTGTTTGCTGGTACTAGCATCACTAATATGATATTTAACACCTGCATCAGGATATCTTCCTATATCTACTTTACCAAATTTCAAATTGTCCAAAGCATATCTGTATCATATGATCTTGTTTTTAATATATTTATATATATAAAAATATTTGTATAATAAGATTATACTCACTCTGCTGAAAGTTCGGAAAAAATTGGAGCAAAGTTAACGCAAGCTGGATTCCATGCAGTATAGAATGCTACAACCCAAACTATTTTAGTATCTCGCATTAACTCTTCTTGCAACCCACTTGCACCACGTAAATAAATAATATTTTCTGGTCCTTGATATGTAGGTTCGGGCAATATTAAACCACATACTGTAAATACACTTATATTATGATATGTTTCTTAATCCAGCAAGAAAACGAGGGATTTCTTATATTTGTTCATCGATACATACGGATAAAAATAATTGCAAATAAAATTCCCATGCGTATGTCAGCATAAAACCATAAAACCAAATTGGCAACCTTAGTGTAAACAAAACTGGATGATAAATAATTGATCATAGTTACGCTTCCAGTTTTTCGTGTCCTAATCATTATTACTATCATGAGGAAAAACAGAATTTCTGTTTCTTTCTGAAAATATGTGTGGAATGAAGAAATATATGATATATTATAATTATAATTTTCTTATTATTAATAAAAAATTAATTATTACTTACTCCATCAAGTTCACATTCTGATTGTGGAAATATATAATGACAAATGAAAGGAAGTCTTTTAGTAAAGATATAAGAGACACTAAGAATAATATTAATTAAATAATATGGACGTAAAAGTAACTTTAAATCCTTCTTAAAAGACATTGTTATGACGGAAGAATGAAAATAAAATAACAGTAATACAAATTTTAGGTTATAATTGTAAAAAGTAGCATTCGATTATTAATAACTTTGAGTTAACGTATTTTGTAATTATAATCAATTATAATGATGATGCATAAATTTATCTATTATCAATTAACTTTAACTTCACAAATTAGGCACATATCTTTATAGATTATTATCATCACAGTTTCTGTTAAATGGTCAGAAAGTATATGAGAGTTATATCGAGATTTTTGACCTATTTGTTCAATATCGATTGTAAAATTATCAACAATGATCTTCTTATCTTTTGAAAAATCAAACTAATGAAAATGTTATCAGGATTAAAAATAAATATTGAAATTATTCGTTAACATTTTATATATCTCATTTATTTTCATAAAATATTTATTATCGATCAATATATGATAAGCCAATTTAAAAAACGCGCCTATTTTTTTATTTTAATTGTATCATTAAACTTTATTTTATTATTATTGTCATCTTATTTAATAGCTATTTTATATGTAATATAACACTATTGATAGAAAGTATTGAAATAAATACACACATTATAGGATTAAAGTATTATTAGATAACAGATAGAGAAAATGATGGAAATCTGTTTTATTTGAATTTATATTTATTTGTACTATTGCGTATATTTTTTGATATATAAGATTATATCTATAATATAGTAATAATATTATTGCAACATACGTATATACATGCAATTGCAGAGATAGTCTCAGAAAGTTATTTACTAGTTATTAATTGATTGCTGAGGTCATTGACAGCTATAAGCTATCATTTGTTACTTCAATACTAATATTATAACATAATATCAGTATTATACTTGAAATTTTTAATACCATCATTTTTTTAATGGTCAAAGATCAAGTACTATAAAAGATGACTGCAGAGTGATTGAGTTTAGTCTGTAATCAATAATTTGAAGATGTATTCTATCAAGCATATTACTCCAATTTTCATCCTTGTATTTTTATTTTTTTCATATATATTAGCGGATGACAGTAAAGGAATTCCTTTGGTAGTTATAACTTGGGATTATAAAGAAGCTACGCAGAAAGGTATATTTTTGAATAATTTAATTAAAAATGAATAGAATCTATTTATATATATAACTAATAAATTAATTATTTTCTTTTTAAGCATGGGATGTTTTAAATAATGAAGGAAAAAGTGCTATAGATGCTATTGAAGCTAGTTGTTCTTTATGCGAAGAAATGCAATGTCGTAAGACTGTGGGTTATGGCGGTAGTCCAGATGAGTCAGGAGAAACAACATTGGATGCTATGATCATGGATGGGTATAATTATTAATATATATTTCTTTATTATTTAATTTATATTTTATTTTCTATATATATATATATATATATATTTTTTTTTTGACTTGCTCTATATTGATGCTAATAGGGTAAAAATGGATGTGGGTGGAATTGGAGGATTAAGAAATGTTAAAGGTGCTATATCTGTTGCTCGTAAAGTGTTAGAGCATACAGAACATTCATTGCTCGGTGGAAGTCTAGCTACAAATTTCGCTATACAAATGGGATTTAAATCAGAATCTTTAGAAACTGCAGAATCTAAAGATATGTGGAAAAAATGGAAAGATAATCAATGTCAACCGAATTTTTGGAAGGTATCTTACTTTTTACATTATACCAGTAATCACAGATTTGGAAAATATCTTATTCATTAAACGTAATATTTTGTAACAAAGGTCTATTTTTAAGTCATTTATACAATTTTGTTTAGAATGTTGTACCAAATCCAAAAACTACTTGTGGTCCTTACAAACGAATTAATATTATGGATACATTTATGGAACAAGAAAATCATCAAGAAGTATCATATTCAAATGAAGAAAATCATGATACGATAGGAGTCATAGCAATAGATAAAAATGGACATATAGCTGCTGGAACTTCCACCAATGGTGCAAGACACAAAATTCCTGGTCGCATTGGGGACTCTCCCATACCAGGTGCAGGTGCATATGCTGATCAACAAGTTGGTGCAGCTTCTGGTACCGGTGATGGAGATATTATGATGCGGTTTTTACCCAGGTATTATACGAATTGTACATTGAATCATTAATAAAATGCAATGATAAGTTGTCTAATGTGTTATTGTATTTTTATAATTTTTGTTTTTATTTTTAATAGTTTTCTCGCAGTAGAAGAAATGCGCCGTGGTGCCACACCAACAGAAGCAGCTAAAACGGCTATAAGTAGAATAGCAGAGCATTATCCTAACTTTACTGGTGGAGTTATTGCATTAAATAAAGATGGACAATTTGGAGCAGCATGTAATGGCATCCCTTTTTTTCCATTCTATGTTAGCAATCTTGAATTTGGAGAACCGAAATTATTAACTGTACCTTGTATAAAAGAAACATATTGCGTTAGTGGTACTGATAATAATGTTTGTTAATGTCTTTTTAATGATATATGAAGTTTTCTGCTAAAGTTATAAACAAAAATATTTGTAATAGTTAAACATTAAAATATATCAAATTTCGAGGAGTTCATTTTCATTCGTTTAAATTATTTTTTACTGCCAAATAAAAGCATTGAGAATAGACTATGATAATTCATACAACAGATAATTAACTTTCCACAGCTATTTCGATTTTATTAGAAAAAAAAAGTAAAGAAATTAATAAAATAATAAAATTATATTATTTATAGTAGCAAATTTTGATTGAATTCTACTTCTTTTTAAACAATCGTACCATTTTATCCGATGACGAGATTGGTAGAAGATGCGCGTGTCTGCTCGTTGTAGCGTTCTGATTGGTGATTATGTTATTGTGTAATTTTCGCTCAAATAAAAAATATTTGATTGTAGGATTTGATGATTTTTCATTTAAAATTTTGTTACGAAAAGCATTGTTATACATAAAATCTTGCAATATAATTCAGGATAAAAATACTCTCTTTTCACATATCAAATACTTTTTACTATATAGAAATGTAAAGAAAAACCAAAATAAAAGGGAAACTTATTATACGATGTTCTATATCAATTGAATCTATTAATAATTACAGTATTTCTACTAAAATATTGTTTACTAATAAAAAATAAATTTACTACAGTAAAAAAGCTTATCTTTTATGTAATTTGTCGTATTATATATAGTATACATTAAATTGATAATTTGGAGCCTATGTACAAGGAGGACGATCGCTGTGTTGTAAATGTGGCTTCAATATTCACAATGAAAGGATGATTTTTATTGCCACTAGAGAGCGCGTCTAGTCGCTTATTCCAGTTTATAGAAACAGTAATTAAAACAAAAACATCAAAGAGATCTATTAATTTCATTTGTTTATTTATAAAATCATACGTACTTCAATCTAAATTTAAGAACATCACCGCCGTCCTCGTGGATAATTATCGTACTCTACATTCACTCATTTTCAACAACACAAATTCGACGCAAACGCCTGTCTCGATCGTCCTCCTTGTACATAGCTTCGTTGTTATATCGAATATTATTTGTATTAATATAAATTTTGAAATTTTTATCGATATCCAAAGGTAATATAATATAAAGAAATAATAATATTAATAAATTATACAATAAAAGATGTTATATATATATATGATATTAATATATCAAACTTAAAATTTTAGGTTACAAACAAATATACTAAAAATGCCAGAAACCATGGAGGAAGATATGAATATGTCAGTTCGTTTAACGAATGACGATTTTCGAAAATTATTGATGACACCAAGAGCAGCTGCTCCTTCAGCTACACCAGCATCAGTTCCAGGCACAGCTCGAGATGCTAGTGCTAAGACGGCGCAAACACCTATTGTTACCGGAGGTAGTAGAGCAGAGTTACGTAGAAAAAAAAAGAGCTTTTATGCTAAACTTAAGAAACAAGAAGAAGATAAAATGGCAGAGTTGGCTGAAAAATATAGAGACAGAGCAAGAGAGCGTAGAGATGGAACTAATCAAGATTATCAAGCAGAAGATCCTATGAATAGTGCTAGCGCATATCGTGCTGTTGCTCCTGATTTAAAATCAGGCATGGATGCAGCAGAACGTAGAAGACAAATGATTCAACAATCTAAATTCTTAGGTGGTGATATGGAACATACTCATTTAGTAAAAGGATTAGATTATGCCCTTTTACAAAAGGTAATTATAATTAACTATGAATTAATGAATTTATCATGGATGATTATATTTTCATTGTGAAATAAAAATAATTATTTATTTGTCAATAGGTACGTAGTGAGATAGAAGCTAAAGAACACGAACAAGAACAGGAAATGGAAAAGTTAGTAAAACCAAAAGAAAAAATAAAAGAGAAGAAAGAACCAGAGAAAAAGGAAGACGAAATGCAATTTAAAACTAAAATTGGTCGCAATATTTATAAAACTATATTGACCATGAAGTCGAAACAAATAGAAAGGAATGAACTTTTTACACCGGGACGAATGGCATATGTTATAGAATTGGATGATGAAAATGCTGATGTAGACATTCCGACAACATTAATTAGAAGTAAAGCGGATGTTCCTACTGTGGAGAATACGCCAACATTGACGACCAATGATATAGTGATAAATAAGTTGGCACAAATTTTATCATACCTAAGACAAGGTAACCGACATGGAAAGAAAGGCAAGAAAAATAAGGATGGTCGTTCCAGAGCTGATGATACAAATGATATGGACCTTCCACCAAGACCTCAGGATGAAAGTATATATGGGGATATTGGTGATTATGTTCCTGCTATTGGAAGAAAAGATAGCATACAGCATCGAGATAAAAAGAAAGGTTCATACTTTGATAAGCCAGAGAATAATATAGATACAGATGATAAAGCAAATACTCCACAATTGCCAAGTACTTTACCTCAAATTATTGAAACTAATGTACCCAAGAAGGGAGCGCTTCTTAATAAATTGGCTGCTGAACCTGAAGGTTATGCAGAGTGTTATCCAGGTTTGGACGAAATGCAGGATGCTATAGATGACTCCGACGATGAAGTGGATTATACAAAAATGGATTTAGGCAATAAAAAAGGTCCTATTGGTAGATGGGATTTTGATACACCAGAAGAATATAGCGAATATATGAATAATAAAGAAGCACTACCAAAAGCAGCTTTCCAATATGGGGTAAAAATGGCAGACGGCAGAAGAACTAGAAAATATAATAAAGAAAAGAATGAAAAAGCAGAATTGGATCGTGAATGGCAGAAAATTCAAAATATTATGAATAAAAGAAAACCAGCTACTAATTTGGAAGGAGGCTCGGAATTTAAAATACCGAGATATTAAATATTCTTTAATGATTATAAACTTTTTATAATGCAAAGATAGTGTAGATATTGTGATTGAATATTCATCATGTATAATTTAACAGAAATGAAAAATAAAAACAGAATCGAAAAAAAACAAACAAAAAATTGTGGAGCCGGCGTTCAAGTGACAGACTGAAACCCGCATTAACGCGGGACTGGTGCTTAGTAATATAATTTAAAAAAAGAATCTAAATTTACAAAAAAAAATCTAAATTTAAATAAAAATAGGGTTTCGTTAGAATTATTGTATCATATTAAATTAAAAATGTTCATCCCTAGAACCTGGAGAAAGAAATTAAGCCAGAAATACATTTTTTCACACATTTACAATACCAAATATTATTTGAATTGTATATATAATAAAGTACGTGTATTTAAATTATCGTAAAAAAAAATATATATATCTACAATATATATATGTATTAATTATCGCTCCAAATTAATTATTTAATTGTACAATATTTATACAAATTATATTAAACATAAGTAGAATATCTTTAATGTGTATATATATATATATATATATTAATACTTTTAAATATGAATAAAATTATGTTTCCTTGTATTTTATAGTAAAAAATAAACATAAATAAATATCTTTAATAATCTGAAGTATTTATATTTAGAATTACCTTATAAATAACCCGAAAAAAATGAGGGGAAATATCTTTCTCTAACAAGTTGTAAAAATAATCAAATTATGAAATGAGATTTAAAAAACTTTTGACCTTAAACTGTTAGACGTACACTTTGCAAACAACTTACAATTTGTTGATTTATGTCCAATAGATACTAAGAAATCTTTTTAAGAAACTAGAATATTCCAGTTTCAGTTGATAATACTTGAACTAATAACGACAAAAGTTTTATGAAGAATAATTCATTAAAAAAATTAAAAGAAATCATAGATAAGTTCATGTATCATTTAAATGACTAGATATATCAAACATTAGACATAAATCTCAGTAGTATTTAAAAAAATAATCAACGTCACACGTTAAGTAAAAATATAAAGTATTTATCTCGAAACTATTTTATTTCAAAATTTCATTTAATAAGAAATTTGTGATTGATAAAAATTTGTCGATCAAATAAAAAATAAATATTTCAAAGAAATCCAATCAAACGTAAAATGAACGTTTCGTATAAAAGTTGCGTACAATTTTGCAAATCCTTTAATTTTTGTAATCGTATTAACACACGCGCTTTTGCTTATTATTATTTATAAATTTGTTTATTTCATTACAGATATTTTCCCTTTGTCTTTCATGTTATCTTAAAGATTAATTTCGTAAGCGTATAAAGACGTAGATCAACATGTTAATACAATTAATATATCATTCTCTGTTATATCAATCGATACATCTTTAATGGCTTTCTTACTAATAAGTAAAAATGCCATGTAAAACGGTGTCTCTTTTGATAAAGTATATTGTGTCATTTAAAGGGGAAATCAAGAAGGAATACATGCAGTTCTTGACCCTCCCGGAGAGCGATATCGATGGCTTATATAAACCTTGTTCGTTTTTCCATTTGAATCAGTTTAACGTTGCAACGAATGAGAGCTTGATCTCTTACGTGGGTACGAGTGTAAAACGAATTTTAAGTAGTTTCAACGATCAATTTATTTCATTTAGATTTATCAATTATTTGTAATTAAATGTAAATCAATATTTTTGTATAAGAGATCGGTCCAATGATAACTTTTGCAAATCTTCGCTTTTGGCGTACATTTGTAAATACCGTAAGTAGATTTTTTAATCTTATTTTGTATATAATTGTGTTGTTAAATTGACATTTTATTTGACGAAATGAGTGATTAAGTGAAATTTGTTTATTATGATGACTTTGGATGTGAAATTTTTGATTTGAATAACTGACTGATAATATTAAACGGAAAATATAAAATTTTCACGATTAAACTCCAATTATTACAATTAATTATGACAATTCTACACTTCAAATTTATCGCAAATTGTTTATTTAATACAACTTTAAATATTTGTGCTACTTTATTTTTAGAAACAACTGTTCTATGAATTTTTATCATATACTAAGACAAAAGATAAAATCAACGTTACGATTAAAAGAAAGTTTTGAAGAAGAGGTCCATTTAGTATGAATTCGCTAAAAATTCTAATCATATTTTTAAAATTTAATCGCCGCAATTGATAACAATAGCCAAAAAGTGTGATTTAAAAAAAAAAAAATAGATAGATTATTTTTAATTAATATTATATAGAACGTTCTGAGATCAATCGATTATTGTTATCATAATCGATTGATAATATTATACGTGATTATAATTGCCCCTGATTTCACTATATTTATTTTTATTTATTTTGTAGATATCCAACTAATTACTAATATGTACATGTGTAAATATATATATTTTTAAAAAGTTATAAATGTGTAATGCTATTGCAAATAATAATATAATAAGCTTTCCTCCTTAATTAATTAATTAATTAATTAATAAAAAAAAAACAAATGTACCATTACTTTTTGCAGCTTGCATAAACGTACTATCAAAACATCTCTCAATCTTATACCGCGCTGTAGATAAATAGGTATGTATTTTGGTTTAAGGTATTAAAAAAATACAAAGAAATGGATAACATTCGCACGCTTGATTTTTATTACGAAACTAACAAAGAATGCATAATCGAGCATGATTGAAATAATCGTATCATTTAATCGATATATTTATTTTAATTGACTTGTACAAAAGAGACAAATATAAAAGTATTTAATGAGTAAGCCTTACTCAAATGCTAATTGAAATCTAAGATAACAATATGTAATAGGTGAGCATGTCATTTAAATCTTATTGTTAGATCAATTGCTTCTAATTTAACTGTCGTCAAATTTAACCATTGTAATCGTATCATTGCATGTAATATAAAAATATATAAACGTTTCATTTAAAACAATCGATATCTTCGACAAAGAAATTCTATTATCGTTTAAATGTAAACAATTGTTTGCGAATATAGGCGACGATGGCACAACTTAAGGTAGCGATTATCGGTCAGAGTCCGTTCGCAGCTGAAGTTTACAAATTGTTACGACAAAATGGTCATCAAATTACTGGAGTTTTTACTATACCTGACAAAGGAAATCGAGAGGATCCATTGGGTATAATATAAGATTTGTTCTAATTATTTTTCAATCTTATAAATACAATTTACCTGCATTCTGTGATACACAAAATGACCATGCAGAATTATCAGTTTATAAGGAAAAATGTATTTTTTAACTTTTCTATTTTCTTCTTTTTTTTTTTTTATAATTATAGCCATCGCAGCAAAGGTTGATAATACGCCTGTTTTTAAAATTAAATCCTGGAGAAATAAGGGTGTGCCCCTACAAGAAGTACTCAATACATATAAAAGTATCGACGTTGATCTAAACGTACTACCCTTTTGCAGTCAATTCATACCGATGGAAGTCATCAATCATCCTCGTCATCGTAGCATATGTTATCATCCGTCATTATTACCTAGACATCGAGGAGCGAGTGCTATCAATTGGTAAGAGTACAATATTTTTCTTCTAACTTTTTAAACAAGATAATTTTTCGATAAGATATAATAATTATGTAAGAAACAATATTTAATTTGATCTGCTAATTTTTTGATGCATTGAAATAGATAAAGATAATGCACGATTAATCTTTTACTCTATTTATTTGTTACAATAAGTTATCGCATATTTTTTTTTTGTTTTAATTAAATCTATAAACAATTCTAAAAAAAGTGCTCTTTTAAATTTATAAATTCTTTACATTGAATAAAAGATCGAAGTTTAAAGTAGAGAATTTATATAGTATAGTAGAACCGGTTTGGTTCAGATTGTGGCGAAATCGTTTCTTTCTCTTTACTACTTTCTCGTGTATATGTGGGCTGGCTTAATGTTAGATAATTATATCAGAGGCATACATTTTTATTAACTGATTGCGTTCAATGACTTATTCCATGAGGCTTGATATTTCAAATGAATAAACAAAAAATACGATAACGTCGATAATTCATAATAGAATATAATATAATTATCAATGTTTTAATAGGACTTTGATAGAAGGCGATGAGAGAGCAGGATTCTCAGTATTTTGGGCTGACGATGGTCTCGACACGGGACCGATATTACTTCAGAAATCATATAAAATAGAAACAAACGATACTTTGGATACTTTGTATAATAATTATTTGTATCCTGATGGTATCAAAGCTATGGTTGAAGCCGTTGATCTAGTAGCGAAAGGTACTGCCCCTGTTATACCGCAAACAGAAGAAGGTGCAACTTATGATCCCCTGTTAAATAAAAAAGAACTTCAAAAGATTGATTGGTCGAAACCCGCTAAGAAAATTCACAATTTTATTCGTGGCCTTGATAGTACACCAGGTGCATGGACTTTTATTAACAACGAAGAAGTACGTTTATATGGTTCTACTTTATGGAATGGAACTTTACCCAAAGTTGAAAGCGAAATCGACGTTGATGATCGAATAGGAAGAATTCACGATGGTGGTCTCTTGATCGAAACAGTCGACGGTAATTTCGTTAACGTCGAAAGGATCAAAATTGGTACTAGAACCATTCACGCTAGTAAATATGGTCAAAGTGAAGAGAACAATATGGTGGAATTGACGGAGGAAGAATTAAAGAGTAAAGATGTTTTAAGACGAATTTGGAAAGGCATACTCAACATGGACATCGAAGATGATACGGATTTTTTCGTTTCTGGTAGTTTATCGTTGTTTCTTTTTTTTTCTTTTTCTTTTCTTTTTTATTTCAGTATGAAGTAATACTATAGATTAGATAATCGAAATTTATTGATGTATTTTACCGGAAATTTTGATAGAACTTATGAACTTGATAATATAATCGATACATTAATAATTTGTTTCTGTCTAGGCGGCAAGAGTATGGACGTCGTTAGATTAGTCGAAGAAGTCAAAGATAATTTAGGAGTGACTTTGCAAAATATCCACGTCTTCATGGCCCCCGTTTTCATGCAATTCTTAGGAACTGTTATTTTGACGACACGCGGTAATGCAGCAGCTAAAGATATTAAATACGATGCCGTAGAAATACGAGTAAACAACATGGATTTGAAGTTCCCAAAACAACTTTTCATAAACGGAGAATTTGTTAATGGACAGGGTAAACCGATCGATACGATTAATCCACACGACGAAAGCGTTATTTGCAGCGTAGAGAGTGCATCGGTGGAAGACATTGATCGTGCTGTGAAAGCTGCAAAAAAAGCTTTCGAGGAAGGCGAATGGAGTAAAATTAGTGCTAGGGAACGTGGAGAATTATTGTTTAAGTTAGTGTTCATCGAGTTATCGAAATTATTGTTAAATATTTCTATAAGAAGTTTATTTTTAACGAATACGATTTTCTTTAGATTGGCTGATCTGATGGATAAACATAAAGAAGAATTGGCAACCATAGAAACGTTAGATTCTGGTGCAGTATACACATTAGCCTTAAAGACACACGTTGGCATGTCCATAGAAACGTGGAAATATTTTGCTGGTTGGTGCGATAAGATACAGGGCTCAACTATACCAATATCTCATGCCAGACCGAATAGAAATTTGACATTTACGCGAAAGGAACCGATAGGGGTTTGTGGTTTAGTAACGCCATGGAATTATCCTTTGATGATGCTCTCGTGGAAAATGGCAGCTTGCTTGGCAGCCGGTAACACGGTTGTGATGAAACCAGCTCAAGCTTCGCCATTGACAGCGTTAAAATTTGCTGAACTTAGTGCACAAGCTGGTATTCCTCCTGGTGTTATAAACATTGTTCCGGGTAATGGTTCTGTAACTGGTAACGCTATAGTCAATCATCCGCTTATCAGAAAGCTTGGTTTTACTGGCTCCACGGAAATTGGTAAAACGATTATGAGATCTTGTGCCGAAAGTAATTTGAAGAAGGTCTCGTTAGAACTTGGTGGTAAAAGTCCTTTAGTCATATTCGAGGATGCTGATCTTCAACAGGCAGTGAAAATAGGAATGAGCAGTGTATTTTTTAACAAGGGTGAAAATTGTATTGCCGCAGGTACGTATAAAAAAGTTATGAAATGATATACTTTGTGTTCAAATTGCCATTTAATTAATTTCTTTTTATTTTATTATATAGGCCGAATTTTTATTGAAGAAACTATTCACGATGAGTTTGTTAAAAGAATAATCGAAGAAACGAAAAAAATATCGATAGGTAATCCTTTGGATCGAAGTACGACTCATGGGCCACAAAATCATAAAAATCATCTCAACAAGCTTCTAGAATACGTTAAATATGGGATCGATGAAGGTGCTACGTTGGTTTATGGTGGTAAACGTATAAATCGTCCGGGATGGTATTTCGAACCGACGATTTTTATCAATGTTGAAGATCATATGTATATAGCCAAGGAAGAATCCTTTGGTCCTGTTATGGTGATTTCTAAATTTAGTTCTAAAAATATGGACGATGTAATAAGAAGGGCTAATAATACAGAATATGGTTTGGCATCTGGAGTACTAACTAAAGATATTGCTAAAGCATTGAAATTTGCTGAAAAAATTGAGGCTGGTACTGTATTCATAAATACTTACAATAAAACAGACGTAGCAGCACCTTTCGGTGGTTTCAAAATGTCAGGATTTGGCAAAGATCTTGGGCAAGAAGCACTCAACGAATATCTCAAAACAAAAACCGTAACGATCGAGTATTAGGTTTACCACGTAATAAATAATGTTATAAGTCTCGAATGTTTTATACGATCCTTGTATTTTTCTTTTAACTTCATAGAATCATATTATTTTAAATTCATAACTACATATTTTTTATCATATTAATTTATGATATAAAATAGTTGTCTAAATATTTTCTTCTTATTCCCGTTCATTAGGTTGTATCTTAACATTTTGAATGAAAATTACGTGCGAACTTGTTCACAGACATGTGTGATATATAAACATATACATCAGATACTTTGACCATCGTGCAGCTTCTTTCAAAATCCCAGATGCTATTAACGTCGTTTTTTATTGGAAGATAAGCTCTATTTTTGTTAATATGTCATGCATTATATCTTTTCAAGTCGAATTTTCTTTTAATAAAAGTAGAATACCGGGGATGAATGAATTGAATGCAATATCTTTTATAGATCGCAACTTAAATTTTAACAATTTTCGACTATCCCCTGGTATATGTAAATACATAAAAGTTATTAAAAAACATTATAAAGTAATTAATTTCTGTATATTAAATACATAGAAGGAACCAAGGAAAGGAATATAAAGGAATATGCTATTTATTAGGAAGTTACAAGAAATTAATTACAATTATAATGTTTATAGTAAGCGGTCTTTGGCTGGATTTTACTTGCAATGGAATGTATAACATATAAAATATGTTAAACATTATACTGAAAGTAAAATACCATTGCCCAGGTCTAACCACGAGGAGGTAACCGCTTCTGAAGACCCGGGAAGTGCATTCTGAAGATGTCCACATCCGAATATAATTTAAAAAAATAATAAGATAATCTAATTGAGAACTTTTTTTAAGGAACATCACTCTTAATGCTCACCCTAAGAATTTCACCTATTCGCCAGTAATACGATTACATGTCCAAATCTAGCAGAAAATTGATTAAAGAACAATATAAGTAATCGGTAAATTTTATGTTTTTATTTTAGCTCAGTAAAAAAATTAAGTTTAATTAAATCATCTAAAGAAACGTAAAATAAAAATATATTAAAATTATTTCTATTTAAAGTACGTTAATATGTATGTAATGTTTAAACCAGTAAATATGTATTTAAAACATCTGAAATATAAAGAGAGTGCATTAGAATATTTAAATAATTGTTAATTAATCGATAGAAATGTCTATTGTTGTTAAAAAACTCGAAATATATGTTGAAAGCTCCGTCCTCTTCGAAGTCTCCTGTTAGACTGAGTCATTGTCCTCTAGGAAATTACTTTTATTGAAAGTTGTTTATATGACTTTTCGAACGTTGCGCATGTGTATAAAGTGAATAATTCATCTAATCAATAAAATTTAAGATTATAACGTTCTCATTTTAGTATTCTTTTAATTTTTATGAAATTGTTTAAACTAATGTACATTTTTTGTTACGTTCCTATGCAGTGATGACTTCGGAGGGGGAAATTTTCCTCGAAAAGAATATCACATCGAAATTAATTAATATTTAAAGTATGAAAATGTGTATATGTAATGCTTATACAGAGTACATATATGTTTAAACAAGCTGAAATTTATAGAGAATGGATTAGATTATTAAAATAATTGTTAATTAATCGATAGAAATGTATATTGTAATCTAAAAATATTCATATACCTTCTTTTGTACTTTATTTTTCGAAATCTTCTGTTAGACTGAGACGTTGTTATATAAAAAGGTTTGTTTTATTAAATGTTGTTTACGTGGCTTTCCGAAAGTTTCTTATGTATGTAACGAAAAAATTAATTGTAATAAATAAAAATTGAAATTATAAAGTTCTGATTTTAGCATTATTTCAATTTTTATGTAATTGTTTAAACCAATGTACACATTTGTTTTAACGTTCCTATGTAGTAGTGCCTTCGGAGGGGGAAATTTTTATCGAAAAGAATATCACATCGAAATTATTTTATATTTAAAGTATGTTAATGAGAGTATTGAATGCTTATACTAGTACATATATGTTTAAATAATCTGAAATATAAAGAGAGTGCATTAGAATATTTAAATAATTGTTAATTAATCGACAGAAGTATCTATTGTTGTTAAAAAACACGGAATATATGTTAGGAGCACCGTCCTCTTCGAAGTATCCTGCTAGACTGAGTCATTGTCCTCTGGGAAATTACTTTTATTGAAAGTTATTTATATGACTTTTCGAACGTTGCGCATATGTATAAAGTGAATAATCCACCTAATCAATAAAATTTTAAATTATAACAGTCTCATTTTAGTATTCTTTTAATTTTTATGAAATTGTTTAAATTAATGTACATTTTTTGTTACGTTCCTGTGCACTGGTGGCTGCGGTGGGGGAAATTTTGATCGAAAAGAGTATCACATCGAAATTTATTAATATTTAAAGTATGTTAATGAGTATATGTAATGCTTATGCAAGTACATATATGTTTAAACAATCTAAAATATAAAAAGAGAGTGTATTAAAATATTAAAATAAGTGTTAATTATTCGATAGAAATATATATTGTAATCTAAAAATATTGATATACCTTCTTTTGTACTTTCCTTTTCGAAATCTTCTGTTAGACTGATACATTGTCATATAAAAAAGTTTTTTTTATTAAATGTTGTTTACATGGTTTTCCAAAAGTGGCGCATGTGTGCATCGTGAGTATTATTTGTAATATAGAGAAGTGTAAATTATAACGTGCTGATTTTAGCTATATTTCAATTTTTATGTAATTATTTTAATACTTCTGCGCATTGATGTCTTTCGAGGGAAAAATTTATCTGTAAAATAAATAGAATTTATTAGTGCATTTAAATTATTGTTAATTAATCGATAGAAGTTTCTATTGTGTTTTCTAAAAGCTGGGAGAATATGACCTAGCTCTTCAAAATCTACCGTTGAACTGGGTTATGGTCATCTTTTTAAGTTCTTCTGTTAAATGATGATTTACCTTATTTATTATTACTTTATAATGTTTTTAATATCTTTTATATATTTCCAAATACCAAATGAAAAATTAAAAAGTGATTGTATAATTTTAGAGGTAGATATGTTATGTTAATCATCTTATTAGACTCGTCTTTACTTTTAGATGCACTCGATGCATATACATAAATATACTTATTGTATATCTAAATTTTCTAGCAATCTAATACATTTAATATATAGATTTTAATATGCATACACATTTCTAATATGCTTACAAAAAATTCCAGATAACATTTAATAATTATTTTCTAAAATAATTTCAATC